AACAGCGTTTGTAGGGGAGAAATCCATTACATGACCATAAGTTTCCAATCGCTCCTGAAGTTATATTATTTTGTCGCCCAAACATCAGGGAATCTGATGTTTGTAGTTTAGTTAGTGTCAGTTGTCTATTTTAGAAAGTTATTAATCTCCTGAACAGTTCCTGTCAAACTCGAAATTTTCCAAGACTTAACGGCTGGTTTGACCTGGGATGTGGTTTGCGGTCAGGCCAGTACAGTTGCCAATGCATATAACTCCATTTCACCACTTTCCTGACAAACTCAATCTCTGATTAGATCATAAAGATAGACGTAGAAAATAAACCTGACCTGTGACACTGACCGTCACAGGTAGGTGTCCAGCGACCACTGTGAATAGAAGGTCTATTGTTAGTAAAATTAGTCTCTCTAGTAGGGATATGTCCTCAGGCCCATATATACTGTATACGGACGCGCGGGGAAAATCACTCACTCCGTGATTTCTCCTCCACATCTCCAGGTATGTAGATGATTGTATTCGCCGTCGTGTTAATTCAGTTTAACTTAGTCAATTTTGTGAATATCAGTGCTCATGTTGTAACAGTGAAATTGTCATTTACCCAGTGAAAGGATTAATATAAAGTTAGTGTCGTCGGGACCGTTGCCAGACATATGTTTTTGTATAGTTGAAGTTAGACATTCACTCCCTCTGTGATTTCTCCTCCACGTCTCCAGACGCTGGTTGTGTGTTAGCAACACTACTGAGGTTCGATAGCTGCCTAGGGGCAAGATGGTTCTCGAAGGATGTCTTTAAGGTGGCGAGATTAGAATCCCAGGACGAGATTCAGCGGGAGATGCCATCGATGACGCTGCCAGTCAGTCACGAGTCAACCGTCCCAGGCACACTGAGCGAGCGAGCCTTTAGCTTGGCGGTCGCTGTAAACAACTGTGCCCGCTGACTCCGTTTGGTGGTTGTGTCCATCCATTGGTCTGAGTTCTTTGCATGGAGCAGTATCTGTCCATGTTTGAGGATCACTAGCAGAAATATAGTATCCCAGGTTAAGTATTGAACCCCTGAAGGAGAGGTAAACGTGCCATGTTGTTCCTTGCAAACTAACAGGAGGTATTGTATGTTGCTATAAGCGTGGAGTTTGTCCAATGTGTTATGTATTTATCGGTAGTGACCATGAAATAATAACCTGAGGGCCCAGTATTATCTTACCGTGTGTAATAATTACTGAATCTTACTTGTTAAAGAAATAATACAACAGTTGTCTAAGGAAGTAATAAGTAATTGTGGATCTATTTTATCAATGATACAGTAAGACCCGAGGGTCCAGTCTTGTCTGAATAAACTTACTAGTTGTTAAATGATATTATAAGTACTTGGAGTTGTTTAATGATATAATAAGTACTTGAAGTGTTTAATGAATTAATAAGTAATTGTGGATCTATTTTATCAATGATACAGCAAGACCTGAGGGTCCAGTCTTGTCTGAGTGAAGTTAAGTAACATCTTATTCACTCACTGTGTTAATAAATATTGAATTAATAATCTACGAGTATCACCACTCTATTCCTTCTAAGCATTGGTTCCCAGAAAATAATACTTACTCACGTGTCTATACACACCTACCACACTACCCAAAAGTTGTCCGTGAGTTATGTTATATCCTACCAAAAGTCTGGGTGGTGGCAGCTACCCTTGTAAGTATAATAAGTGTTGTACTAAGAAAAGCATGGTTCCCCAGACTAACCCATGTATGAGAATATAAGTAAAACAGAGTAAATACTTCAGAAAGGTAAGGTCATATAAATTCGGAAAATATAATATACAGTATATAAAAAGAAATGAAAGACTTGGAAAGTATAAGAAAAGAAAGATAAGACATGTATGTACATTGTGGAACGAAAGCCACAGCATAGAATTTATTAAATAAATACACCATGAAAGTTTAATATAAAAAATATACATAACTAAGAAAAGAATATTAAATAAGAATATAAGCAAGAATGCATATATATATATATATATATATATATATATATATATATATATATATATATATATATATATATATATATATATATATATATATATATATATATATATATATATATATATATATATATATATATATATATATATATATATATATATATATATATATATTATATTATATATAAAATATTGAAGAATAATAATAGAAAAGAATATCTGGATGCTAGGATATAAAGTGAAAGAAACTCGGCCCACAACAAGATATGTTTATTTCTCTACAAACAGGGCCGCCATTTGCATTGACGTCACCAGTTTCCCAGCAGACGACGTTCTCCAACAAACTCACTTCTGCAGTCTGAGGTAGTACAAAGAATGTTTTTTTATGGTCTAAGTCTTAGACTCTAAGATCTAAGTCATGAACGTTTCGTAAGTGTAAAAGTTTGCCGTGAAGAGCAGCTTATGGACATAAAAAACTCCCATGTTCACACCTGCTCAGCTGGAAGACTTTCTCTTTTTTTCGAGTGCATTTACAGAGTATATCAGTACGAGATGGAGATACGAGTCAGTTTAGAAGTAATGACATTGTCTGGACTTTGTTTTAAGAATGTATTAGGATATATCATCATTTATATTAATTAATGGGTAAAATTTTACTTTACCTACCAGAAATATTTGGATGTTTAGATTCGAGATAGGCTATATTGGTGGGTAAATTTTAAGTTTTGGTCATCCCTGTACTTAGACATGCAGACTATAATTTTTTTTTCTGATGGTTTGCGATGTGTTATGAACGATTTTGACCTCCATTTCTATCGGAAATCACTAGTTTTGAGTTCCTACCCCCCCTCCCCCCCTTTACCGGCGTATGCTAAGAAAACCTTATAACTTATAATATAACCTAACATATGACCTGTATTATGCGATCTGAAAATGATTTGCGACATAAATCTTGTAGAGATAACATGTCTTAATGTTTAATGTACTTAATCCCATAGTTAGAATCTTAAGGTTCCCCAGATGACCAAAACCAAAATAATACCAATGTTGTTTTGAATGTTTATGCTATGAAATTTGTAGTAAGGCCAGCTAATATCCATTGAATTAGTTAATGTGCTTAGTAATATTTATATATTCAATATAGCATTCCTGTTTTGCACAGTAAAGCACATTTAATTTTCTAACAATATGTATTTACAGAGCTGATCAGTCGAGGTTTCATCAAGGCAGATGGAAGAAATTTACCAAATGTTGATGTCTTTATCATTGTAGGGTATATTATCAAGAACTCCGCCATCAAGCTATGAAGCAGGTTAAATTACATCTGTCATCTGATCATCTCAGACCCATTTCCTGGCCATGGTCGTCTCTAGTCTTTCCACAACATTAAATATAGACATCAGTGACGAAAACTTACATTTTCCAGACATGAAATAAACAACAGTGATGAAAACTTCCATGTTGGAGTTATCGGTCCTTTGCATCATTTTGGCACCCAGCCAGTAAATACATACGATGATACTTGAGCAGTAATTTATTTTAACCTAAAAATAAGGTATGCCTGTGTATATCAACATTGCAAATGGCCACAAGTCCTGTATTTCTGCTGGTAACAAAACCTACACCTCAGCTGGCTGCCTCGAGGGCTCCAGGCTCCTGCTCGGCGGTTCGAGCCAACCTGTGACGTCACAACCAGTCACAGAGCGTTTCGCAGTCACGTGACTTTAACCCTTATTTTGTACACTTTTTGGCCCAATTTATTAAACAGATATCATTACCATAGTGAATTTAAGCGTTTTCTTTACCCATTGACCTGCCATCTTACGAAAAAATTCCTACCGACAACTCGTCCATTATGATGATTATGCAATATTGAATGTTACGAAGGTAGTTGGGAAAGTAGCAAGTCAAGACGAAGTCACAACAATACAGAAAGAGGGGACCTGTGGTAGAAGCGGTACCGTTCTTGCCTCGCAAGCGAGATGTCACGGGTTCGATTCCCGGGCCGGTGGAAGTTGTTTGGACTTATTTCCTATCCCCCATTAGTCCCTGTTCACCTAGCAGTAAAGTAGGTACCTGTTGTAAGTCGAAAGTTGCGAATTCGTATTCAGGGAGTTGTTGGAGCTTCCAATAATTTGATGACATAAACCACTGACTCTTCAGGCTTCTACGCCCTTAACTAGTGAGACAAAAAGGCAAGCATGAACTTAGCATGCTTCCCTGTTGGGCTCTGTAAACACTTCTGCCCTTCACCTTACACAAGGACGGTTGTATTAACCCTTGTCAAACAGACAGTAATACTTTTATAAATGTGGTTTACATACGTTGTTCATATAATTGCATCACCCACGGTAACTAGCCTATGAGCCGTGAGTAATCATTAACTGGACACATGACAGTATCTTCCACTGAGCGCCCTCAGCTTGACCGCTGGATCAGCAATTACTATCTGGCTTCTCACCAGTCTGACTCCCGTCTCTCAAGACGTGTGTTCAAAGAAGCTAGTTATACATAAGCTCGTCCCTTATTAACGCTCACTGCTCATAGAATTAATTACGGTGATATCCTAGTTATTGTGCAATAGGTTATTTTTTTAATAAATGTTGAAACGACCAGTGGGTTTGAAAACCCATGAACGTTTATGAATGTTACTTCCAGTGCACTTCTCATACTGACTTTTACAGACTTTATCTCATCAGTGATTACAACAGGTAAACGGAAGGTAACACAGTAGACCTATGGAACGGTCTATCATCTCAAGATGTGGAATGAAGCACAGTACTGGGTTTCAAAGCAGCCCTTGAAAAAATTATCAAGAAAAATGAAGAGATCCTACACAGGGCACTGGCCTCTTCCCTTCGGCATGGCCTCCTCTAGTGGGTGGCCATAAGGTAAATAAGGTAGGTAGGTAAATTAATGAGACATAAGATATCTGAGGTAAAAATCTAAAGAAAAATATCATCGCTAAGTATGTGTGTTGTTTAAATTGAGGATGGTCAGGGGTGAGCTACAAGGATTTACACATCATAGGGCAACTGTAGCAAAAGCTTTATTAGAGACGTTTTTGTACAGTGCATTCTGAGGTACTATGATATTGAGACACAGAATATCTTAATGCCAGTAATCACTTTAGCTACTAATTTATAATAGGAGGACCACCATGTCCGTTGAACAGAACGGTAGAGTCTTTCTCTGCCTGTTCCAAGTTGGTTATACCCATTGCATTACTGTGATTGCTTTCACGTTTTTCCTTGTTTTCACTTTTTTCAAACGTTGTTGTGGGGGAGGCATAACCACTGGGTAGCTGAGCGTAATTGAGCCCTTTAATGCCCGTTTGAAAAGTTTGTTTCACATTTTGATATGTCGGAGTGTCTAAGTTTCGGACTGCAGAAAATTGGCTTTGTGAAAATTGTCTCCTGTGTGGATTGGAGCGGTAATTGTTTCTCAGGCGTGGTATATATTGATTTTTCCAATTGTAAATATTTGGTTTATACACCCTGTTCTCACCAAAACCATGTCCAGCTTCCTGTTGGTTACTGGTGATGCCTGATAAATCACGGGTGAAGTAAGGTTGTCCAAAGGACATACTTGGAGGATAGCGTTCGGGGTCATAGAGTGTGTGTTCCTCTTGAGGATTACTGGGTTCTGGTATTTCTCGATTCCTTGGTGGGTAATGTGTCTTTGGAGGGGGTCTTGGGTAAGCAAGTTCAGGCTGTAGACTAAAAAACTGTCTCTTGTTATTGGTACCAAAAGATCTCTGAGTATTTTTGGAAATTGGGGCTCTGAAATTATTCACTGGTTGGTTATTAATCCTGTTAGTATTATGAGTGGATGATGCTTGTAAGACAGATGAAAGAAGAGGAATTTTGTTTACTTGGTAGAAATTACTGGTAAGGTCATGGATTGATAACTCTGGACCTGGTTTACTCAGGTGAGGTTCAGATTGCTTTTCAGACAGCAGTTTATATTTTTCCAGCGGTATATCTTGACGTTGACGTGGAAAATAGGGTGGTCTGTGGTTTGTGATGGGGGTGAGCCTTTGGGTGTTGTATGGAGGAGAAAAATGATTGTTAGAGAGACTATATGAACCCCGAGAACCAGAATCCCATGTGTTCTGTCTCTCTGGTGTCAGAGGGGAATTTTTAAGATTCATCTGTTGATTTTGTAAGTATCCATGTGCATGGTTTATATACTCTTGACTTGCAAGATTCAATTGGTGTTGTTGATTTTGGTTGTATGACAGAGGATACTGACGGATTCGCATTAATTGCTGAAAGTACCTCATATCATCTTGTCTCCGGTTGAGTTGTGGTTGTCTGTTGATGTGTTGGCTTTGATACCTGTATTGCACCAATGGCTGGGGTGTTGGCAGTACGTCTCCTGCAGTGTTGAATGCAGATGTATCCTCAGAACTATCTTCACCACCATCACCACTAGAAGCGAAATTTTGTTGTACATTGTTTGTGTTGGTCTGGTCTATCGGTATCATCTCTTGATCTGGATGAATGTCAACATCCTGTAAAAAATCAGTCAGTAGTGCACAATCTTTATATCAAGTCTTATTTCCGTCACTTGTACAGATAAACATGGTTACAGTAATATTATTTATAAAGTGAAGAATGAAAGGAAATAGGAACTAAAAGAGGCTCACCACCACAAAAATCATTATCCATCTAAGAAATGTGACAGGCCTGTACAGTAATCTTGATCTTGGAAAAGTTTTCTATAAAAACAAAGTAGTTCTTGCTGACTTATATTCAGCCCATTTGCAATGTTTACTCCGAGATGGCTTACATCTCTGTTTGAGATATTTTGTTTACACCCACAATGGGGAAATTAAAAGATTTTTTTTAAGCAGTTCATTTATGCAAGTGGCTCTGACACCCTTATTTGAGTAAATGGGTAACAGCATCTTTGGATTTTTCCAATATAGAGTATTGTCATCTGTCATAAAGTCACTAATATTACATCTTAAACTTAGTGAATATTTCATGAAAAAACAGATATAAATCATAGATACGTAACAGATGGTGAGCGTTTTACCTCCCCCGGACTGCACGTCAGCTAGTATTTATATCCAGTTTTAATAGTTTATAAATGATTTGGGATATATCCAGCCATACAAACTGTAGTTCATTACCTATTGCGCTATATGCTTGGTATCATTTGTTTCTGTTTGTTTTATGTTTGGTACAAAACAATGAAATAAGGAAAAGACAATTTGAAAGCGAATTTCATCTTTGACTTCGACCTTTTATGATAAATAGTTAAAAAGTTTTAACATGCTCTCTGAAGAGCTAATGCCTTGAAATCATTTTCATTTTGATAATCCAGATATTCAACATTATTTTGGAGAATAAAAGGTCTTCTTACCAATTGTGAACATACCCTGTATTTAGTTGGAATAAATGAACAGCTACACGAACATTTTCAATGAACCAATATATATATATATATATATATATATATATATATATATATATATATATATATATATATATATATATATATATATATATATATATATATATATATATATATATATATATGTGTGTTTGTTTGTTTGTGTGTGTGTCCGCACGAGAATCTTGGAAACTACTTTACCGATCTGTAGTGATGATGGATGGTGTTATATGTAGTGATGATGGATGGTGTTATATGTAGTGATGATGGATGATGTTATACGTAGTGATGATGGATGTTGTTATACGTAGTGATGATGGAATTTGTTATATGTAGTGATGATGGGTGGTGTTTATGTAGTGATGATGGGTGGTCTTATATGTACTGATGATGGATGGTGTTATATGTAGTGATGATGGATGGTGTTATATGTAGTGATGATGGATGATGTTATTTGTAGTGATGATGGGTGGTGTTATATGTAGTGATGATATCTCTCTCTCTCTCTGTATATATATATATATATATATATATATATATATATATATATATATATATATATATATATTTCATTAGCCCAATGAAGCACTCGGACTTCTACATCTGTAGATTGTATGTAGAAGTCCGCGTGCTTTATTGGGCTAATGAAATATACAGTATATGGATCCTCGTGTTTCGAAGCCGGATTTGGTAAAACGTTACTCTGACCACCTACGTGATACGGGTAGTCCCCATTAGAGGTTCACGGAGCCATAAGCTCGTTGAACAGGCTTTGTGTGAAATATAACAAAGTCTAGGACTGCTTTTAGTATCCTGGTGGTCCAGCGGTTAGCTTCCCCCCGTCACAGTCATGCGCTCTTGGGCCGTGGGTTCGAATCCTGGCAGGTTGAGGTGTTGATTATATATATATATATATATATATATATATATATATATATATATATATATATATAACAAAGAAGTCTGTCTGTCTGATTGTTCACTTTTCTCTGAGATCAAACCCGGGTCCGCTTGCTAGCGAGGCGAGCATGCTTACCATTGCATCCCAGGTCGCCAATAAGAGCTACACCATTTGACACAGATCCAGCGACTGGTGCGGCAAAAGTAGGTACGAAAGTCTCATCCAATGACTTTTATTCATACAGATTCATGATTAGAGAAGACAGTTTCAACCAGATACTAAGATCAAGGAACCTCTTCCACCAGTTTGTAGTGGACATGTATGCCAAAATTGAAACAGAAAGACTCACCTTCATACGACTAAACCAAAAGAAGCTCAGGGTTGATGACTACATTCATCTGAGAGATGCAGTAGTAAGGGATGGACATGTGGGCAATGTTGGACAGCTGGTGATTCTCCCGTCTTCCTTCACTGGAGGTCCGCGATGCATGCAGGAAAAGACTCAGGATGCTATGACCTATGTCAGAAACCATGGACGACCAGATCTCTTCATTACTTTTACATGCAACCCTGTATGGACTGACATAACAGAAGCTCTAATGGAAGGCCAGAAAGGACAAGATCGGTATGACATTATAGCGAGAGTATTTCGTCAGAAAGTGATTAAACTCATGGACTTGGTTACAAAAGCATCAATCTTTGGCCCTACACGGTGCTACATGTACTCCATTGAGTGGCAGAAACGAGGTCTACCACATGCCCATGTCTTGATCTGGCTGAAAGAGAAACTTCGACCGAACATGATTGACAACTGCATACGAGCAGAGTTTCCTGATCCAGAGGAAAATCCTGTTCTCTATGAGATTATCAAGAAGCAAATGATTCATGGGCCATGCGGACCATTCAACAGACACTCTCCATGCATGAAAGATGGACGTTGCACCAAAAACTTTCCAAAAGACCTGACAAAGGATACTAAGAGTGGAGAAGATGGCTATCCTCAGTACAGGAGAAGAGCGCCAGGCGATGGAGGTTTTACAGTAGTGTTGCGACCTGGAACAGACAGTGAAATAACAGTAGACAACAAATGGGTGGTACCCTACAATCCTCTTTTGAGTAAAGCATTCAATGCGCACTTCAATGTGGAGTTTTGCATTTCAGTCAAGTATATCAAGTATGTCTGCAAATACGCCAACAAAGGCTCTGACCAAGCGATCTTTGCATTGGAAAAGGATGGAAATCATGATGATGTGACACAGTTTCAGCAAGCCCCTTATATATGCAGCAATGAAGCCCTATGGAGAATTTTTAATTTTCCCATACACGAACGATGTCCAACAGTAGTTCATCTGGCTGTTCACCTGGAAAATGGACAAAGAGTATACTTCACAGAAGAGTCCTTACAAAATCAGATGGCAAATCCTGCTGATACGACCCTCACTGCATTTTTCAGGCTTTCACAGGAAGATGAGTTTGCTCAAATACTCCTGTATGTTGACATACCCAAGTTATACATATGGCAGGCTTCAATGAAAAAGTTCCAGAGAAGAGCTCAAGGATCCGATGTTGAAGGTTATCCAGGGATAAAGTCAGGCAATGCTTTGGGACGTGTGTACACGGTTCACCCCAACAACTTTGAATGCTATTGTTTGAGACTACTTTTGCGCCACATCCGTGGCCCAACATAATATGCAGCACTCAAGACAGTGAATGGACAAATCTGCAGAACCTATCAGGAAGCGTGCAATCTCCTTGGCCTACTGGAAGATGATGGTCACTGGAATGACACATTAGAAGAGGCAGCAGCTACTCAATCGCCATGAGAATGAGGATCCTGTTTGCCATCATGATTGCTACATGTGGACTTTCCAACCCAAGCCAGCTCTGGAAAAACCACCAAGATAGTCTTTCAGAGGATGTGCTTCATCAAGCAAGAAGAGAACATCCTGGTCAAGAGATTGAGTTCATGGATGACATGTTCAACAGGGCTCTGATCATGCTGGAAGACAAAGTGATGGAGCTATGCGGAAAAAACTTGACTGATTTTGGATTGCCTTCCCCAAACCGAGAAGAACCAGTAGTTGCAAACAGGGAGTTGCTCAGAGAGATAGAATACTCAGTTGAAGTTCTGGTGAATTTTCTTGAAGAAAATGAGCCTCACCTGGTGCCTGATCAAGCAAATGCTTATGAACAGATCTTGCAAGCGATACAAGCGGAGCAGGGAGGTATGATCTTTCTCGATGCACCTGGCGGGACAGGAAAAACATTCCTGATCAACCTTCTGTTGGCCAAAGTACGTCATCAGGGGAAAATTGCTCTTGCTGTGGCATCCTCAGGCATTGCTACAACACTACTAGAAGGAGGACGTACTGCACACTCAACTTTTAAACTGCCTCTCAACCTCGCTCACAATGAGAATCCAGTGTGCAACATCAAAAAAGGATCGGCAAAGGCAAAACTCTTAGAAAAATGCAGCCTCATAGTCTGGGATGAATGCATTATGTCTCACAAGTTAGCGTTTGAAGCATTGGACAGGACCTTGCAAGACATACGAGAAAATGACCATCTCATGCGTGACATTACAATGGTAATTGCTGGAGACTTTCGCCAGACCCTACCTGTCATTCCTCGAAGCACTCCAGCTGATGAACTGAATGCGTGCCTCAAGGCATCATACCTTTGGAGAAGTGTTCAGACATTCACCCTATCCACAAACATGAGAGTACATCTACAAGGAGATCAGGATGCTGGACGATTTGCAAACCTTCTTCTACAGATTGGGAATGGAACTTCCCTGTTGATTCAGAAGGACAGATAATCATTCCTCAAGTATGTGGAAATGTTGTAAAGTCCTCAACTGAGCTCACTAACATGGTCTACCCAAACATTATCCACCACTACAAGGATCACAAGTGGCTGCGTGAACGCGCAATTCTGGCACCAAAGAATGAAACAGTGGCTGAAATCAACATGAATCTACTCAGACAGCTTCCAGGCAGTGAGACCTCATTCAAGTCTGTTGATACAGTAATCGACCAGGACCATGCAGTGCAGTACCCTGCAGAATTCCTTAATTCTTTGGAGCCCGCTGGAATGCCTCCTCACCACCTCACTCTCAAGATTGGAACTCCTATAATACTCTTAAGAAATCTTGAACCACCAATCCTCTGCAATGGCACAAGACTGGTGGTGAAGAACATGATGCCACATGT